GCAAAGAAGAAATACGCAGTCTAACGTACTACTGATGAGAGTATAAATTGATGATATATTTGGAGATCAATTTGACTTTATTGAAACTGTAAGCATGCATGCCATGTGTGTGTTTATTTTTTCAGTGCTGGGGATCAAATCCAGGGCCTGGTACTGGCTAGGCCAGTGCTCTGCCACTAAGCTATGACACCCAGCCCTATTTCTGTTAAAAACTTAAATTTGCACATCTCCACATCTGCCATTTTGCTTCTAGGAATTTCCTCTCCAGAAATACAAGTGCACAAAAACGTATATTAGTATATTCCCTGCAGCACTATTGATAATGAATAATACTGTCAGAAGTTGAGACAATAGACTATTCTATAGTTGTTTTAAAAACTAAACTACATACACACATGGGAAAGGCACGACAGAATAGACACCTGGTCACTGAGTGCTATTTCTCTAGGAGAGAAATGAGAAGAGCTCTTATTTTTTCCACTGTGTATTCTACTAATAGTTAAATTTTAGCCTAGGAATAGATTTGCTAGCAGGAACACACACGTGTACATACACATGTTTTAAATATATGATCAATACATCTTTAAAGATTCAAATGCAAGTGTCAGGCAAGCTAGAGCGACAGGGTGAGGTAAATGAGGAACAGCATCTAACATCCTGGCTTCCAATCCATCGATCTTTTCACTTGACGCTTACATTCATTTTTTTCTTTGTCTTATTCCAGGGGTTTGAACCCAGGGCCTTGTGTGTGTGCCGTATCACTGAGCGACACCCATGCCTCCGACACGGTCTCTTGAGACGGCCCCCTTGGTACTCGTCTCTGTGACAGGGAAGCCATTCTCTTCAATAAACTCATCTTCTTTTTAAATTAAGCATTCTTTGTGACTCCAGGACTTCCTTTTCTTTCATGTTTGTATTACCCCTCCTCCGTGTGTGTATGTGTGTGTGTGTATGTGTACACCTGTATGCACACGCACATGCACTGGGATTGAATCCAGGGCTCGGAGTGTGTTAGGTGCAAGCTTGCTACTGGGCTCCACCACCAGCTCTGTCAAAGCCCCTTCCTTTTTTGAAAAATTAATTTTATTGGTGCATTTAAGGTATACGCTATAGAGACATTCATCATTGGGAATTTGTACCCTTGCATAGTCCGTCTTGGTTCTCATTTTCCCATCCCCTGCCCTCCCTTCAGCCCTCCACCCTCCCCATCTACAAAGACTCTGTTTCCACGTTTTCTTTACCTCGTGTTAATTCCATCCCCACCTCCCACTTCCCTTCCCCTTTGCACCTCTCCTCCTATTTCACAGTAGTCCTTATTTAAGCTCAGTTTCTCACACTGTTTGGTATTTACACATATATGTCCTGTTTACTTCACTTAAAAGTCTCACCTCAGCGTGCATCCATTTAGCTTGTAAACTGGAGCACTACTCAGCCATAAAGAATGAGAAACCAGAGACATTCATAGCTAAGCGGATGCACAAAGCCCCTTCCTTCATTTCGCTCGGTCCCCTTCCTGCCCTCATCCTTCCTACGTGTGAGCAGTGCACGATGAATGGACTTCTGAAACGAGTGGCTACCTGGAGTACTGTGATAAAAAGGGTTCTGAAGATGAATCCGGGGCACAGTGTCATCATGTATCACACCTTGGTTTCAGGGTGAGCATTGGTTGCTTCACAACTTTCCCTCAGGGCGAAGATGTCAGAGCATGAAGACATTTTTTAATCCTGGCAAAACAAAGGGCAGAACCTGAACACGTTGTCACTGTGTTCTAGGGTTAGCAATTTACATCACTACTCTGGCTAGTATCTCTAGTGCCTTTAAACAGTATGGGAGGAAAGGGACCAAGGATTGTACCAGTGACCAGTGAGTCTGGGCTCTTTTTGTATTTAAGATTTTTCTTAGTATATAGCCATTGAGTTTCGAAGAGGACCACAGGTTTACAAAAATAGGAGAACACAGCTCAATAATAATCCAGTCTTTTTCTTTTGAATGTGTGAGAATGGAAAGGTGAATAGTTAACTTGATAATTTATTTCAGAATGTCTATTTTTGGAGGAACTATATTTGACTTCAACTTAATTTATCTTCCTTCCTTCTTCTCTCCCTTTCTTTCTTTCCTCTTTTCTACCTTTCTCTCCTGTCCTTCCTTTTTTCAGGGTCTTGCTGTGTTTCCCAGACTGGTCTTGAACTCCTGGGCACAAGTCATCCACCTGCCTCCTCCATCCTCCCAGGTAGTTGGGATTATGAGCATGCATCTCAAATGTCCAGCTTCAGGTTTCTTAATAGGACATAAGTCCAAGAACTATCTTGGAGAATACAAGTTGGATCAAAAAAAAGAGAAAAGACTTGCCCATAAGATTTCTAAACTTCCGGTTGAACTGTACCAAGACATAAACAGACAGCTGGTAATGATCAAGGGAACTCTGCGACACAGAGGCCGGGTGTTTCAGGGTAGTGTGAGGTGTGCAGCAAGTCTGAAGAGCTGTTGGACTTTCTTGGCCTCTGCATTAATTGCTGACTCAGTTCTTCACGCTCAGGGACTGAAAAGCCTTTCAAGATTATTCGATATCTGCTAATGAGGAAATGGCAGAAAGTCACACCCTTTGAAATTCACAGCACTCAGTGCTACAAAATTCCAAAGATACTAGGAATTGACTTGAAGATTTTCATTTAAAATTTTGCTTAAAATTTACTGTAATCCCAGGAGAGCCATAAGAAATTTTAACTATCATGTACTTGCATATACACATACACCCCTACAACGTTTTTTACTAAAATTGAAATTACAAGATATTTCTCATTTGACTTGAGTACAAGTATCTTCACTGCTGTTTTTACACTATTTTTCTCCAAAACCGTCTCATCTTCAAGAAGCTACTTTCATTTATCTCCAGGCAAATTGCATACAAAATGTAAAGTAGTTAGACATGAGGTGTCATAAACCATACTATTTCTGAGGAGTCCATAACCTCGGACCATAACGTTGATGCACAGACAAAGCCTTACATTTTGCTCCCTTTACTCAGAACTCCAGGCTCAGAATTTCACTGTGAGATAATTTCTCGACAAATGAAGTCGATGTGAAGCTACTCTTGCTGTAATTCTCCCTTATTACCTTCAGGCTACTGGTGTTTTTATGTTTGAGGCCAAGAGGAACAGGAATGATATTGCCAGATTTTGGGGCGGGGGGTACCAGGGATCAAACTCAGGTGCATTTGTGAGGCAGGAGGCAGCACCACTGAGCTGAATCACTGGCCCAGATTTTTTTTGTTTTAGACAAACATCTCAGTGTATAGCACAGGCTGGTCTCAAACTAACAGCAGTCCTCCTGCCTCTGACTCCCAAGTACTGGGATTATAGGCAGGTGCCACGTGCACAGCGTGTCAGATTTGTAATAAGGAATAATATCCAAATTTTCTCTAATTATAAAAGAGTACCTCGTAGAGTTCCACCTTTTTTTAAACATGGAGTTAATATTCTTATGTGGGCTTAAAAAGATTTGGTCAGCCCAGAAGAGACCTAGAATAGCAAAAGCCATTCTAGGCAACAGAGACATGACAGGGGCTATCACAATCCCCAACTTGAAACTATATTACAAAGCCATGGTGATAAAAATAGCATGGTACTGACAAAGAAAACAGACCTGAGGATCACAGGAACAGATTAGAAGATGCAGAAACTACTGCAGATGTACTCAATCACCTCATTTTCGACAAAGGAGCCAACCATCTTCACTGGAGGAAAGATAGCCTATTAAATAAATGGTGTTAGAAAAACTGGATTTCAACCTGCCAAAGTTTAAAACTAGACCCATATCTATCACCATGCACTAAATTAAAATCCAAGTGGATGAAAGATCTAAATATTAAAACAGACACTAAACTTGCTGAAAGATAAGTCAGATAGAAACTTTGATGGTATCGGCATAGGAAAAGATTTTGAACAAATCCTCAATAGCAAAGGAACTAGCACAAAGAATCAACAACTGGGATCTCATTTTATTTAAAAGCTTCTTTCTGCACTGCAAGAGAAACCACCAACAGAGTAAGAGACAATCTTCAATGTGGGAAAAAAAATTTACCAGCTGTTCCTCAGACAAAGGACTACTATCTAGAATATATAAAGAACTTTTAAAATATCAGACCCCCCAAATTTAAAAGACCAATTCAAAAATGGGCATCTGAAATGAACAGATGCTTCTGCAATGAAGTAAAAGCAGCAGATAAACATATGAAAAAATGTTCAGCATCACTGATCATTGGAGAGATGCAGATGAAAACAACACTGAGATTCCACCTCACCCCAGAAAGAATGGCTGCTATCATGAAATCAACCAATAACAAATGTTGGCAGGGTCGTGGGGAGAAGGGAACCCTTCTCATTGTTGGTGGGAGTGCAGACTGGTGCAACCACAGTGGAAATCGGTATGGAGATACCTCAGAGAGGTAGGATTAGAGGTCCCATTTGACCCAGCTATTCCTCTGCTGGGTATGTTCCCAAAAGAATTAAAAGAATCATACCACAGTGATATATGCACACCCATGTTTCCTAGCAGCACTGTTTCTAATAGTTAAAGCTTGGAAACAGCCTAACTGCCCTTCAACTGGAGACCGGATAAAGATGTGTTTTTTTCAATAAAATGGAGTACTACTCAGCCATAAAGAATAAGAATCTAGAGATATTTATAGCTAAATGAATGCACATTGAGGACACACTCTTCAGTGAAATTAATAGGACACACGTGTAAACACCAAATAATTTCCTCTGGTGTGAAAGATTAAAAGTGTAAATAAGGATCAAAATGTATAACTGATATTGTGCAACAGAAAACATCTAAAGGAGTAGTGGAAGTGAGGGGAGAGGGGAAAGGAAGAAGGGAAAATATGACAAAAGGGAAACAAAGTCTTTGTAAATAGGGCAGGATGGAGGGGGTGAAGGGAGGGCAGGGAACGGGGAAAAAAGAACCAAGATACATCCTGTAAAGGTGCAAGATCCCAATGATGGATGTAAAGGTATTGTAATTTAAAATGTATCAATAAAATTAAGAGAAAAAAGAATACGTAGAGAAATATTAGTGGGTGTCAGTTGTCTCCCCGCCTGTATTTTTGTGTTAGTTCAGCTGCTTTGCTAGTTGCAAAGCCGTATTATCAGAGTAAAAGTGTACTTGTAAACTGCATGGAACTAAAAATTAGGAATAAAGCCATTTTCTTACATTGAAAACAATGAAGAAAAAACAGATTTGGTTAGCACTGCTTTACTTGTATATATAAATTATTAATATCTACAATACAGTATTGTAAGAATTAAATTAATATTTAGCTCACAGCTGTATACCCCTAGGGCTTAACACCGTCCCTGCCACAGGGCAGGCACTCGATAAATTCTGCCGAATGAAGCCCTAGCGTCCCTTGTCTCCTGAAAGCGATGAGACCTGTGCGCCCGCCGACTTAAGGGCGTGAGGGCTGGAACCCGCCTGTCTTCACTGGAAAGGAGACTGGAAATACAGGGATAGGCGACAGGTGTCCCGTAAGCTAATATTTCGCTTAGTTTGTGGAGCTGAGTGCCCGCAGTGTGTTTTCCGGATCTGTGTTCCCAGGTGGGCGATTCGGACCCCAGCGGGGAGGTGCGCCAGTCAAGAGATTGCACAGAAATCCAGAACTCTCGTGGCAGGCGGCTCAGGACGCTGCCAAAGACAGGAACGCTGCTTAGCTTTTTGGGAAATAGTTGCAGGACATTCAAGTGGTACCCCCATCGATGTTTTAATTAATAATAGAAATTGCAGGTAAATGTCGTCTCATTACCCTTCCTATAAAATCTAGTTTTATCTTTCAGAAATTGCAAAAATTTATTTGTCAACTTCTAACACTTTGTTTTGATGCATAATACAACATGACTAAAAATGTCTTGCTTACACATGTTTATAAGCAGGGCTTGACTCGGGACCTGAGAAAAGAAGGTACTTCTTGCAAATTGGAAATTGCCTTTCTGTGATATAAAAATAGCTTGTTAGGGGCATGGCAGTTTATAATACCTGGAGAGAACAAGCTGACTTACAGTGTAATGCAACAGGAAAAGCTGAATGCGTGGTATACAAACCCTTCGCTTTTTATTCTTAAAATATAAAAAAGAAGAAATATTTTTGTTTTAAAGAGGACTGAAAATCAACACACTTCCCATTGCAGTTTTTAAAAGAAGACATGATTTTTCAAAAAGACATTTCACCTTCACTGAACACTCGAAATGATAATGTTGGAAATTAAAGGAACCTTACCTTTTAAAAAGCTCATGTATACAGGGAAAGCCTTGTGAGCACACAAATTCTAAACTTAGACGCAAGGTGAATTTCTTTTGTTGGGGTTCATCAAGTAGAATCGAAACACCAAAACACCCCGGCAAACCTAACGAGCTCCCGAGGTTGCTGATTTGTAACGTGTCCTCCAGCCGTAGGTGCAGGCCTCACACCTGTTAATTCTCTACTACCCTAGGACAGTTCCTATCTTACTGGTTCTGAAAAGCACAAAACAAATACTGGGTATTTCTGAGCTGTTGCTATCTGTGGTCCGATCACCTGAAGGTGTACTTCAATCGACTGTGTGTCTTCACAGACATTTTCTCCATCTTAAAGGCCATTCGAGGAAGAGAAACTGCTAGCTCTGTATCAGAGATCTTGTCAGCTGAGATTTAAGGCAGACGTAGAGGAAAGCTTGTGGGAATAGGACGTGCACTGAACAGAGAGATGGTAAATGTAATAGTATGGAACACCTTTAGAAATGATAAAATAAGAAAATACAAAAACAGGTAAATGACTGTTTTAATTTGTGGTCAAATCCTTAGAAATTGGAGCTACAAAAGATAATTATGTGGCTCTGCACGCGCTCTCTTAGTCAGAGCTGGCAGAGGGTTTTTGTCTCATCGGCTGCAGCAGCAGAGAAGTGGCAGATGATAGCCATGGAAACACCGTCCCCAGGACCACTGGGAGTTCTGAGGGGCAGCCATGGCCCAGTGCGTGGGTGGGAGAGGCTGGAGCCTGCGCACGACAGGTCACAGCCACGACTCTCCGCAGCCTGTTCTAAACTGGATTTTGCTTCTTTAGAATTTATTTTTAATTTGGGAAGTTAAAATAATCAACAAATGAACACTTAGCACTGACATGTTTTGGGTGCTACGTAGAATGAATAAAACGACTCCTCAGAATTTAGAGATTTAAACTAACCTGCTTTATTCCTCTATTGTTTTTAAAAGCCTGTTCGAGACTTTATTTCACGAAGTGTATGCTGCTCCGAGTCTGTTTGTAAATGAACACACATACTACTCAAATAGAAATAACAAGGACTTGAGTTACCTCTTTGTAAATAATATTTCCCCCCATATACCCAAGAGCCTTTAAGTTTTTCAAAAAAAAAAAAACATGTTCTTCAAAGTCATAGCAGTCAACAAAGATGATTATGCTTATTATACAGAGTGGAAGTTGTTGAAACAATTTGTCCAAATGATCTGGCAAATTCATGACTGAGCTGTAATTTAACCTGAATTGCGAGGGTCCTGTCTCAGTGATTTTTGCTGCTGCTTGTTCACATAAAAGGATATTGATTTTAAGGCAATCACAACTGAGATGTAGTTCATATTCTAATAATTTTCTCAGCAATACTGTTTCATTTCTCACTTGGAAGTAAGAGCATGTGTAAATGTGTTGAAATTGTATATTTTGGTAGTATAGTCTCTATATTCATAAATTTTTAAAACGATAAGATGGGGACTCAGTATGGAGTAAAAATAAGAAACAAGATATATCCTTATATACAATCCTTCTTATACTTCTATTTTTTAAAAAAAATAGGGTGAACAAATCATAGAATCTCAAAAAAGTGAAACACATAATGATATTAAGACTGACTTCAAAAGTTAAAAAAATATTTGTTTCTCTCAGGTAAACCAAAGCAGTGAGGCTTATTTAATTCAATAGATGAATTTTTAAATACTGAATTTCAAAATCATCATCTCCATCAGTTAATTCCTTTGCTACAGCTGGAGGCACTATTCATAAGCATAGATTATTTATAGTAACTGATTACACATTATGCATTTTCCTACATAAAGGGGAAATACAACAATACCTTATGCCAGAAAACCTTTTCAGAATTTTATAAAAATTATGAAGGTTATAGTCTTGGGATTTCATTTTTATAGGGCAGGCAAAAACAGTTTTTTAAAAATTACTAATTGAAATTAAAGTACCTTCTCAAAGAAAACTAAAAGTAAGTGCATAAGTAAACCTATTTAAAGAAAGAATATATTAAAAAACTCAAGTAGAACAGCTAAATTTATACTGGCTTTGATATCCGTAGCAAATATATTAGATTTCAATAATCTGCATAATCATATTATTATAAATAATAATAGCAAGACAAGTATTTTAGTTGACTCAAAAACATTAAAATATACCTTGAAGCTATATAGGTCTGTTTATCAAAATTTTCTCATATTTATATTATTCTGTCATCAATTTTTAAGTAATGAAATGTTTTATGTCTCATATAGTGACAGAATGAAAACCATTTTAACTGAAGAAAAAACAACTAAATATTCACAGATATCTTCTAGCAGTTTGTTTTAATGTAAGTTGATTTCCAAAGGTCCATTGTTTTGTAATCTCCTATTCCATTTTCTCCATTTTCATTTTTTAGTATCTGGAATATTTCTTAAGAAACTCTTAGGCCTTATGATTAAGATTATGTTGTTTTTCTTTTCCTTCTTTAAGGTGTGGCATTACATGTGACCTCTAATTTCTATTTTTTAAAATTTGTGGGTGACAACATTTTTTGCTTTGTTTCAGTTTTTCTGAAACTTGTACAGATCTTTCCAACTGCTTTGTGAAACCTTTCATACTCAATTTTACAAGAATAAACTTCCTCTAAACATTTCTTTGAGATTTCATTCTTAATTCTTTGAGTTTTATTTTCCATTCTTGTTATCTTCTTCACAACTTTCGCTTCCAAGATTACCGTTCTTTGAAATATACATAGCTTATTTTCACTTTCACGTTTTAACTTGGACAGATGAGATGTAAAGTCTGTCGGTTGTTGTGGGTAATAACTACTAATTTTTCATTTCCTTTGGCTGCTGGTGGTTCAACCCATGTATGCTAAGCACATATGCTACATACAACTAAGCTAGGCACCCAGCCCTAGCTACTAATTATTAAAATACAGCCATATTTAGCAGGAGTAAAATGCAGAAAAAGTTGCTAATTAATTAATTTTCTCAGGAGTAGACAAGAAGACCATATTCTAAGTTTACATTTATTCCAGAGGATGGGAACAAGATCATCATCTAGTAGCAATCTACCCTACAGAAAGAAGCTACTCATGATAAACACTAGGACTTGTGGCGGACACCCTGTCTGGGAACCCCAGGGAGCCACACGTCTTTGCGTAATCCTCTCTTGGGTGCACAGAGGAATCTAGACTTGCTCCTAACCAATAGGATGTGGATGTCTGTCTTTGGCTAAGGGAGGAGATCCCCTGTGTCCACTGTTTCAGGCTAGCAACAGAGACTCCTACTGATTTTGAGAAAGTCAAGTGGCCATGTTATGGAACGGTGTGTGGGAGGGCCGTGACAGTCTCCTGTGTGGCCAGAAGAAGCTGGGGCCTTCCGTTGTGCAGCTGAAGAAAAGGAATTTTCCAACAATCCTCATCAGTCTGGAAAAGGGTTTTTCCCCAGTTGACTCTTCAGATGAGAACACAGCCTGGTTGCCAGCAACATTGCAGCTTGGGGAGACCCTGATCATAGGACACAGAAAAAGCGGTGCCCAGAGTCCTGACCATGGAAACTGGCAGATACTGAGTTCCACTGTTCCAAGTCACTAAGTTTGTGATAATTCGTTACAACAATAAAGTAACTAGTCCAAGAGTTGTCACCTTTTCCTTCGATGACAGCTTCCAAAGATTGATGTTTTCTCTCCTGTTGTCTTTATCTCTGTTTTAATTTTCTTAATCTTTGAGTTTTTAAATACACTTTAGCTTCTTGTGCTTCTTATCAATGTGAGCTTCTTTATTTGAAATACATTCAAGCACTAGAATTTATTTAAAGGAAAAGACTTCTTTTTTAATGTATGGTACCTCTTAAATTCTGTACTTGGGCCAGGTTAAGAAGTTTTTCCCAAATACATAGACTCTTAATGCACTTTTATATTTTCAAAGAAGTATAAATTATATAACTATATTTTAAAAGCTAGAATTACAAATTTAATAAACAGCTTTATCTCTGTTTTTTTTTGAGACAGAGTCTCACTATCTAGTCGAGACTGACCTAGAACTCACTATGTAGCCCAGGCTGGTCTCAAACTCACAGCGATCCTCCTGTCTCAGCCTCCCGAGTGCTGGGATTACAGGCAGGCGCCACCACACCCAGCCTCTTTATCTCTGTTTATATATTATAACCCTTGCACTGCTTTGCTGCAAGACACATGGTACAATTCAGGCCATTTTCCATATTTTTCTCATTTGTACTTTCAGAACACAACACAAAGCAGAGATAATAAAGATTTAATAAGGAAGCAAGAATAAAATCAGCTATGTCTGATTTATAGTATAGGTTATATGCTACTTTCTTTTGAGATACCAAAAATACCATATTTTATTTATATATTGCTACAACTATTCCTTTTGAAACAGGTATAATTGCATAACAGTATGGACTTATAAATAACTATTGTTAGTAGAGTAGAAATATCCTGGAAATGCTAAACTAGGCATGGTGACGCAGGCCTATATTCCCAGCACTGGAGAGGCTGAGGAAGGAGGATCGCTGAGAGTTTGAGACCAGCCTGGGCTGCATAGTGAGTTCAAGGTAAGCCTGAACTGCATAGTAAGACCCTGTCTCAAAAAAAAAGAAAAAGAAAAAAATGTCTTGAAGATACTATCTTCTATGCTGTCATTAAAATGAATTATCATCATTCTATGTGAAACCAGAGACTTACCAAGATGAAAACTTGTCATATTTTTGTGCTTCTTTATTTAGCTTTTTTCCTTTGCCCCTCTGCCAAAGGTAAGTCTTATTTATTTTTGTGATGTTTTTACTGGAACAATGGTATCAGTTACTTCAAATTATTGGTTTTATAAACTCTTAGAACATCTGTATTGAGCCTACTGGCCTGTCTGGCTCCCCAAGTTGTAAAAATGGATAATCCCATCAGTACTATAACTCCTATTGTTCAAGATTTGTGCCTTCTGTCTTTGTATGTTTAGCTATTCAGCTATTCTCAGAAGTCAGATGGTCAGCTACTCCATTCTTGCAGTTCTCTTCCATGGGAATTATCCTCTTGTGAATCTCCATAGAAATTCTTTGTAGCATACCATGGCCTTGTATCTTCCAGGGACTTTGGTTCCCCCTCTGTCCCTGCTGTCCCTGCTTGCATTCTGATGGCCTCCACCGTCTGTACTGAGGAACTATGTGATTAACCCTGATTAAGCATTCAGTGTCACTTTACCTGCTTTATTTTTAAAAGTTGGGCTTTGTAAATGAATTACCAAAACGTATAGATTATAGACCTGTTGTGATCAGCTATATTGTTGACACTGTATTTTCGGAACTTGTGGGAATAGGCTATTCGGATGTATTTTACGAGATAGTAATAATTGTAAGAGTAGCTGTCACAGTATTTTAAACTTCTTTAATGTCTTTCTATGTCACAGTCACAGATCATATTGGAACTTAATCCAGTGCCATTTCCATCTTGTTCAACTGAGAAAATGGTTCTTGTGGGAATTCTTTTTACTGCTCACACCTGCCACGAGGTATTAACAGATTAGAGCAAATCCTAAGAGGTGCTTTGTGTCATCCAAGTGAACAATGGTAAGTTTCTTTGCCTTTCTACCTTCAAGGACATTTGAAGGTTAACTTTTTTTGTTGTGTTTTGAGACAGGGTCTCACTATGTAGTTGAGACTGACCTGGAACTCACTATGTAGCCCAGGCTGGTCTCGAACTCACAGCGATCCTCCTGCCTCATCCTCCCTAGTGCAGGGATTACAGGCATGCACCACCATGCCAGCTAAAGGTTAACTTTTGAAGAGAGTGTTTTATGAAAATAAAGATCATCACGTATCTGTTGGGAAAGTGGACAGATACTTGAGTGAGAGTCTTACAACCATGTAACTAGAAATAGGAAAGCAAGACTAATGAGAAACCGGTCCTCTTCATTCTGTGCTTTCAGTATGCCCTCGGTTGTATCCACCCCACATCTCCTGCCCATGCAGACCCTGACTTAGACATGCCCAGGATCCCACTGGCACTATAAACACCAGTCAACAATCTGACTCTACAGCTAACATAGGAGAAAATTCTAAAGGAAACACGCTGAGAGCTGCGCTCTTCTGCCCAACTTTTTGTCCCATACAGGACTGAAATATGCAGATATCTTAATGCTATTCCTAAACTGATAACAACATAATGGTGGTTACAGCATCTTAATTATTAGTTTTCCTGAAATTTCTCTTGTCCCTACTGCATGGCAGAGCTGTGTAGAAATCATGCAGTCTGTTAGTTTTGTTTTTTATAAAGTAAAAAAAAAAATGGTGGCTGACTTGTTCTTAAAATGTTTTATTAAGAAATACTCATTTAAGAAATGAATCTATAGCCGGATGTGGTGGCACACGCCTATAATCCCAGCACTCGGGAGGCTGAGACAGGAGGATCGCTGTGAGTTTGAGACCAGCCTGGGCTACATTGTGAGTTCCAGGTCAGTCTCAACTACATAGTGAGACCCTGTCTCAAAAATAAAAAACAACCCCAAAACAAAAACAAAGAACAAAACAAAACAAAAAAACCTATAGTACATAGTTCAATATAAGTATTTTATTATCCTTGACACCCATAATATCAGATGAAAGGAAATACTCTTTACTTCTTGAAGAAAAAAGCAATGTATTTAAAAATCCAATGACAACTAGCAGAAGACACTCAAGAAAGTGACCTATGAGAATTCATATTAGAGTAAAAACTAATTGAAAAGAGTGGTCCGTTTGTGTGCCCACAGGCTGGGTAGATGGCCTGGGTGCTGATGTCTAGGGCACCTTGCTAATTCAGTATTCTTCCAGAAAGGAAACCACGCTGAGGCTGGGCTATTGAAGGGGAGATTATGTTTATCAGTCTTGTCAGATCTCATTTTATAGTTCAATTTTTAATTAAAAAAACTCAAGATTAAAAATCAATAAAGATTGAGCAATAAAAATCTCCTTATAATTAAGCATCAAAACCAGAAACGGGTCTTCGGAGAGCAAAGGACGCTTCTCGCGTCTTCGTGCTGTGGACTTTTCCTGAAGGTGGAGGAGGAAGGTGGCCCGCTTCAGCTGGCCGCAGGGCAGCAGCTCTTCCCTGGGCAGGAACAATGTTTGGAGCGAGTCTGCCTTGGCTTGGCATCCCCCGTGGTGACTGCCAGTCGTGAGCGGGCTTTGTCTCTTCTTTGTGTACTGTTTGACTCAGCTTGAGCCAAAAGAATCAGCGGCTAAAGCCGGAGCCTACCTTTCTGCAGAGAGCATAATGTTTGATGTTTCTGGACGTTTTTGTAACATGCAACCCCTGCCCTGAACTCCTGCTGCCTTACAAGCACTTCTCACATGAAAGTACAGGACTCTAAAGCGGTACCTTCCGTGAACTGCACTTGCACGGAGGAGGTAGGCAGGCAGACTCTTCTGACAGCTGGGTGTCCCTCTGGTGTTTGATATGTGGCAGAGAGGCACTGTAGAGTAGTAAGGGAGATGGACGTTCCTCCAAAGTGACAGAGCGGGGCTCCTGAGTGCGCCCGCCCCTGGGCTTCCTGCCCTTCTGCCCTGTGCGCCGGCTCTTCGCATGGAATCCGAGCTTCCTCTTCGGACTCTGGTACAGCTGAGCTATTCCTCTTTACCTACCTGGCTTTTCATGGGTGTGCAGTTTCTTTATCACAACAAACGTACTGTGTTGTAACACAGTTCGTCAGCCTGAATGCATCGGTAAAGGCTTTTAACAGCATTTATTCTATTTCAGTTTTTATTCTTGCCTGAGCTTCTTTTTGTTTATAAACATTTCCTGACCTAGAAAACTAGCAGAAACTTTTATGTTTCACACAAAGTTATAACTTTGCAAACTGCAACAGGCTGAAGGTAATCTTTTGAAAACTTTGAAAATCTTCAGTTGCTGCTTAAAATTTATAGTTAAAATATCCGCACACATTCTTATATCAAGTATATCCAATTTAAAATTGTTTGGACACCAAGTATAATTTTTTAAAATGTGGTTATCCCAGAGAATTGAGATGATGTCTACAAAAATGTTTTTGCACTTTTAGTGGGTAATGCTTTACACATAACAAAATATAAAGGTGCATAAATTATTTAAATGTCAGAGTTTCCTGAATTGCCATATTGTAGATAAAAGGATTATTCTTAAAGCAATATAAACAGTAAAGGTACAAAGCCCAGTAATCTTTACATGAAATCACTGAAAAGATTTTTATTTTATTTTTAGTCCTAGTAGGAGATCTGAAGTGAGCGGCACATGGGGTTGACTGTAGGAAAAACACCCAAAGGCTGTTGCTTGAAAGTATCAAGTCCTGTGGGCTGTGATGGTCAGGACATCCGCAGGGAAGGGCATCATTCTCCCAAGGAGCAGCCTGGGCTTTTCACCTCACTTGAAGCACTTCTCTGAGATGACTTGAGCCTCTCCCTTCTCGTCCAGTAGTCTCTTTTTATTCCTCTCTGTATTATTTGCCCTTTTGCAGCAAAAATGAAGCCATTGTGGTTAACTTTGATGCGGCCTGCTCTAGTCTCAGGAATCCTTAGATTTACAGATGGAAGGAGACAGCCCAGGGATGGCCAGACTCAGCCAGGCCTGCCTCTTGCATTAAACAATCAAGAGTTTCTCTGCTTTGCTAGCAACAAAAGAAAATAAGTATAGGGTTTTAAAGAAAAGTTTCCTGGTTGTGAGGCCGGTTTGGCTGAATGTGAGGTACAAAGATTTTTAATCATTTCTCCCCTTCTTTAGGGACACCAGTAACATGGGTATAAGACCTTTGATATGGCCCTTCAGGTTCTTAAAACTCTGTTCTATTTACTCTTTCAGTTTTCATAATTTGTATTGATCTACCTTCAAGTTTATTGACTCTTTCCTCTGTCATGTCAACACTGCTAACTGAGCTTGTCTAGTGATGTGTTGGGCTTTTTTTTTTTTTCGGTTATTACGTTTTCCAACTCTAAAATGTTCATTTGGTATATATTCTATTTCTCTGCCGAGAATACTGATCCTTCCTTGAAGAATTTTTACCTTTATGTCATGGAGATGGGTTATAAAATTTCTTTAAAGTCTTGGTATTATAATTCTAATGTCTGCTTAATCTTGGGTTTGGCAATACTTGATTCTTTTGCCAATGGATCAGATTTTCATGGCTCTTCGTGTGTCAAGTGACTTCGGACTTCCTCCAAAATGTTTAAAATATTATTTAAATGAAACATGATGCTCTGAGCACCGTGCTACTTTGACTCATGCAACGCGAGAGTCGGGGCCGTTGGAGACCTGCTGGAGAACACATGGGTTTAGAGCACAGTTTCTGTCTTTCCCTCTGTGTACAGAGGTTCCAGTGTCAGCTCAGCTCTGAGTCTTCACTGCACATCTCTCCGTTCTCTTCTCTGGTGTATCCTCCATGTATGACTTGGGGGCGGTCCTGGACAGTGTGTCAGTTCACTCGCAGGCTGGGGTCCACTCTCAAGGTCTGTCCTGTCCGAGGCTCCGTCTGCATTCTCCTGTCCCCCAGGCCTCCTTTCCAGGCCACTCAGGACAGAAAGGTGGGGCTTCTGAAGAGTTTTCACCTCATATGATAAAAAAAAGTTCCTGGCTCTACACACCTGGACCTAGACTCAGGGTAAATAGAATAAGGACTAGGCTGGGGCTTAGTGGGAAAGCATGTGCTCAGGCTGTGGGAGACCCTGAGTTTGATCCCTAGCATCGAGAAAAAAAAGGGAGGGAAAAAATACTGGGGATCCCTCCACACTCTTCCTATAGGAGCCCCTTTCCCTGCCACGACAATGCCCCTGTTGGAGTTGGGAGGGGAGAAAAAAAGAAGTAAAGATGTTCTACACTCATCAGCTTGTAGCGGCTTCTCATTCCAATCCTCTGGCCAGAAAAGTTGGTGTCTGTATCTGCTGAGCTGTTTCCTGATTAGGCCCACCTTCCAGTAAAACCGGGAAGATAAAGAAGTGAAACAGTCAGAATTTAAAAAATGACCAGTAGAACACCTGCAAGATTGCTGCCACCATTGAGGTTTTACAGCAAGGCTTGGACTCCTCTTGATATTGCCTTATTTTATTTTCCTTTTCTGAATTCCTACGCAGTTGCTTCTCGGATTTTGTCCATATTTTTATTTGTGTTTAGCAGGAGAGATAAAGTTACACATGTAATGCAGTGATGGCGAACCTTTCAGAGCTTTCAGGGATAAAAGTCAGCGGTGGCACACGTGCTAAAATTCACCTCCACTGACACAGTGTGATTACCTACATGTAATGATCATGTGACTATATCGATTCTTTTAAAAAAAAAGACTATATCATCATGGGTTTTGTGGACTGGTGGCGTTATGCTTTTTTCTCTGTTTTCTATCTCTCAGTGTCTTGTAACACTTTCCTTCTTCCTTCACATATAACACTGCTTCCCCCAGTCTTTAGTCAGCTGAGTCTTTCTGAAGGAACATGTAGTTTATAAGCATTACAAACCATTAACCCTGCAAGAGCTGTAAGAAACCTGTAAGAAACCAAAATCACCAACTCGGAAGCTTCCACACTAGTGAAATTTGTTTTCTCACATAATAAAGATCCTCAGAAAGATAGCTGTAGGGTTGGTTGGCTTTACAGCATCACCTGCCACCCTTAGGATTGGTCTTAGCCTCGGACTGATTCTCTTCGCGCTGCAGCAGTTCCAGAATGACTTCTACATACGGTGGCCTCTAGAGACTGAAAAATTGGCCAACTCTTTATATTACTTAGTATTGATTTGATTATAAATGACAGAAAACCTGAAAGTGTGGCTTCTTTCATAGTTGGCCAAGCACCGTCTGTATTCCGGAGGTCCTCTGTGGTCTGGAGTGGCAGTGGTACCTGCAGAGCTCTTCTCTGTTCCACAGAGCAGATTGAAGGCAGGAGGTAAGTGTTCATCACAGACGCTCTTATTGCACCCCTACCTCTCTACTGCTGCCCAAATTAGTAGTGGATGTATTGTGCGTGTGTGTGCGTGTGTGTGTGTGTGTGTGTGTGTGTGTGTGTGCCAGGATGAGCAAAGAAGAGTAGAAAAAAGCTCCCTCAAAACCCAGTTACTGCTAGTGGCTCCCACTGTAAATCCTCTCCTGCCATCTCATCTGAATTAAGTTGCATATACTTGAAATCATTTGTTTTCAGAAATGTGGATTTGATAAATTACTCAGGCGAAATATGGTTCCTTAGCTATGGTTGACTAGGAAGAATCTTGAAGAGTCTAAAATAGAAAGAAAACAGTTCTTTTTTACATTTTATGGTGTCTTTCTTAGAAACATATCTGCTGTTTTGCCACATAGGATTTTTCTTTGAGAAGGCAAGCTTGCATATTATAAAAAAGATGGGAAAAAATGGATGCAGAGAAATGGTGCTGAATGACAGGAGGTGAGAGAGAAACAGCACCAGGCACACGTGTGAGAGGCGGGGAAGGGTCTGTGTGCTTTTGTCATCATTATGTTGCTATGGAAATGCAGCAGAACCAGGCTGATTGTGCTCCAGGAGTGTGAGTCAAAGGAAAGACAGAATATGTGCAAGGAGAATGATAAATTAAATCTCTAGTAAACCAAAGGGACAGTCCACCTGTACTTTATCTAAAAATTCAGTATTGTCTTTATAGAACACCATCATTCCGCTGAAGTATGGTGTAAGGAAGATCCCACGATTTATATACTATTCTATAGTTTATTTTTTATGAATTAACAGAGAATGAAAACTTCACAAAGTACATACTCACTGTAGAAAAGACATTAAATGCATAAAGAACAAAGCAGATGCTAACAGGCATGCCTGATTAACATTTTTAGATGCAGCTTGTCAGTCTTTAATTTTCGCATTTTTACTAATTTACAGTTCCATATAATTTTACTAATTGTACTTCATTCTTGTAGTTGGATATTTAGGTTGATTCCAGTTCTCCACTACTGCATATAAGATTCCAAGGATAAAATTTGACCTACTTTTCCTTGCACCTCCAGTAAGTACCGAGCACTATTTTTGATGCGTTACAGCCACCCAACAAATAAGAATTATCTCCATCACTAACAACCGCATGTAAGCGTGGCATGGTTGACAATTATTTGTTGATTTATCGACTGGGGTTGCTATTCAAATATAACAGAAGGCGCTGTGCAGGGGTCACATTCAGGTCTGAGGCTGAAGGGGTGAGCAAGCCTCTGCCAAAGGATCGTACAGGGAGGCATTTACTTTTCTATGGCTTTTATAGAAAAACTTCAGCTGGTACACGGATCCCCTGACTCAGGATCTGGAGGTGCAGTTCATGTAACTGAACCCAATAGAGATGGCTGCATTAAAACAGCTTGTCAGTCGGCAATGAGAAATACAACTTCTAGGAAGAAGGTGCACGCCCGTCTGTCCAGCTGCCGTATTGTGTCCTTGCAGGCACACAACTACCAAAGTGAAAACAAAGTTGCCGGCAAACATCAGCGAAAAATAAGCGCTCGCCTAGCACGGACAAGACTCCATGCACTCTCTGCCACCTGCCTCACCCCGCCAAGGTATCTGTGGATGTGTCTGTCATTCAGACAGCTCAGTCTAGCTCCAGTTTTGGTGCCGCATAATTAACTCTGTAAGCTTTCCCTTTCTATGCACACTTTTCAGGTCATCGATGGAAATTCAGGGGTTCCTGCTTGTGCAGGTTTAGGTCACATATTTACGCACAGATGCTTGGTTTACTTCTTCTTCAGGTGGGGGTTCGTGTTCATCACATCCAGGTATTGCTAGATACCTCTGGAGTAACCAAGTGACCCGATGTCTCTCTATCACCATACTCATTGATGAACCCTGATGGGGTGGGTATTCTGGCTAAGAGAATGAAACCATTTTCAGCCTACTGTATTAAAATGCTTATAGAATAGAATTTTACAGGCTATAAGACAACTTGAAAATATCAAGTATTTCTTGAATACTTCCTGAAAAAAACTTAATGGAATAAATTATAAAGTCCAGGGTCGGTGAGATTTCTCTAAAGATGCAGTGAAGTTGCCATTGTAAAGTTATGGAGACCTTCAGTGGCATCTTCTGAGTTTCCTAAGGGGAGAGAATTGGGCTCCGTCTTGAGCAACTTTAAAACACACTTGATTTGGGACTTCGCAGAGGTAATGGTGCAGATGTCAGCTGAGCACCCATTAGACAAGGGTTTCCCAGGAGGACAAGTCAGGTAGTGTGAATATTCAAGCCCGAGTCTAGGAAACCGTTCGGGATGGTCATGGCCCATCTTCAGCCCGGTCGGTGCCTTCTGTGAGTTTCTCACGATCCTCAGCGGCCCCACAATCAGACCCATGGGGTCCACACTGCACACGGAAGAAAAGCGGGAAGGGGTTATACCCGGGAAAGATAGGCCAGGATCTTCCGATTAGAGTCCTCGATGAAGCTGAAGTCCAGGGTACCTGTGATGTGTTGTGGGGAGTAGCAGAGACAGATGCGAAGCAAGACTGTGATTAGAGAATGGAATTTCTGCAGGAATGGCGGAGGAGCTCTGGAATTAGAAAATTCCAGGAGACGGTCACGAGAATGCGTTCTTTTTTCCACAGATGGTAGGTGGTGAGTAAGGGGCTCTTGGGGTGTTTGTTGCTTTGCAAGGAATTCTTTCCACTTTTGGGAAATAGTATCGATAGGAAGTGGTCCTGGCAGAGACCACGCATCCGCTTGGCCTCTTGGCCGTATTGTCAAAGCCAGAATTCCTCCACCGGAGTTTTTAGTCCTTAGTCAGGGAAACGGGTGGCAGAGGGAAGAGAGACTGTGGACGAGAGGCTGGAGCAGGGCTGCCAAGGAGAGCGGTGGGTCAGCTCAAGCTTTTCCCTGAAGCCTTAGCTGGGTGTGCTGAAAGGAAAGGACAATGCACAGACTAACAGGGAAAAGGCCCAATGTTTGGTAACATGCTCGTGTGCTCGGGAACCACACAAAATGTAGAACTCAAAGGAGGACCAGAAGGCTGAGACTTAAATATGCTCCCAGGGGGAGAATGATGCAGGAGACGAGCCAGTTTCAGGGCAGGAGTAAACGAGGCAGGGGAAATCACGGGCCCGAGAGTAGACAGTGGACTGGGTAAAGGTCCTCAGGGTTCCGGGTGTGGTGTCGGACTTTTGGTCTCTTCCCTGTCACCTGAGTTTACTCTTCCTTGGTTAACGAAAGTTCACTTGAAGGACTAGAGGTAATTGTGCTCCTCTCTGGTCTACAGGAAGATAAAAGGACTTCATGGAAGGCCTTTGGGTTCATTTGCTGCTCCCCAGGTGCACGCAATTTTAAATCCAAAGTGACGACTTTTGGAGCACTTCCAAATCTGTGTATCTGACCCTAAACTCTCTTTTGCCTTCCAGAAGCCTTCCAGACACCTCCATTTGAAGGCGTCATTGTTGGTGTCGGGCTCCGATGAGGTTCACTTCGCCTCATCTCCATCTTGTATTGCCATCAGTGGCACTGACCACCTGAGCCAGAAATGTGGAAGTAAATTGTCCCCAACATCTCTTTATGCCTCACTCCAAACTCAATTAATCTCTGAACCTTGCCAGTCCTACTTTATAAACACTTGCTATTTTCTTCCCTCCTCTCTTTCCATTGCTATGGCTTGGGACAGATCTTGCCCACGAGCTCCTTAGTGGTTTTTGGCTACCTGTCTTAAAAGCTACAGTCTCCGCCTCTCCCCCAGCCCTTGGGTAATTGAGCTTTTTCCTTCAGCACTTCTGAGCTCTGCTCTGGTTTCCTGTGCAGCCAGTTTTCCTCTGGCCACAATGAACAGATTGCTGTTGCCAGAATCTCCTGTTCAAAAGTAGCACACTCCCTTAGCCAAAAATGCTCCCTTTGTTCTGTTTCTCTCTTAATTCTTGTTCATGCTTTAAGTTGGACTTGACTGTTGTCCCAGCATCTTTTGCTGACAGCTTTCACCCTCGCTTCACTCGCTGAGATCTTTCAGATAGGCTCCCTCCCACAGCCCTGCCAAGACAGCTAGCAGAGGATCCGGGCTCTGTCCTGTGAATGTGGATTATTTTTCTCACTTCCTTACCAAGCTGCAAATTCTTTGAGGGAAGAGATTTGAGTCTTATTTGAATTTGTATCACACTGCCTGCTTCCAGTTTGACACATGCAGACTCCCAAGCAGCACCCACTGAGGGACACATAAATGAATGGTTGCGGGGAGGATGCATTACGAACTATAGTTCCTAATTCTGTGGACACATTTCCTTCTTGTGCAGTAATCAGTGTTTGATTTTAAACAATTTTTACTCTTTTTTGTTATAAAGTAATACATGCTCATAATTTAAGAGAAAGAAATGAAAAAGAAAAAAATAAGGTACAAAGAAAAGAGGAGATACATTCAAGCAATACAGAGGAAACACAGTACAAATCCTTCACTACCATCCATAGTCTCTCTCCCTGGAAATAAGCACTACGTTAATCATTTTGTTTATGTTCCCAAATAGTTTCTCTGTATATACAGACATGCATACAATGTCTTACACAAGCAAGTTTCATACTACGCACAATTCTCCGCAGCTGCTTGTTTTTACTGCTTCTGCTTAACCTTCATCTCCGCGCACTGTGGCGATCCTGCTAGAATTCTCTGAACTCGCCAGCATTTCTTTGCCATCACAGATTCAGCTGGAAAAACTGTCAGCCGTCTTCATTTTCGCACACGTTCTCAGGCACAGAGAAGTCAGGGTACACTCAGAGGGACCCAGTAGGGCCCGGCTGGGATGCCGTCTCGGGCACCTGTCCCGACCCCGTGCTTTTCCCACTCTCTCTGCAGCACCTGCACTGTAGCTGCAGATTCTGTGGGCCTTATCTCTCTGAGGACTGTGTGTTGTACATCCAGCCTTAGGGAACAAAGCTCCAACTGCAGGCAACTCCTCGCAGCGTTTAACCCCTTCTGAAGTGGCTTTACTGTGCTCTTCAGGTGGGAGGCGTGGGGTAGACATAGGGCGCAGGACATAGTACCTACGATCTGGCTTCCCCTGGCGTCTTCTACAGACTTCCGAAATTCCGAGGAAGAGAGAGGATCAGCCTGTCCCCTCACTTGCCTTGGGGACTGAGCGTCATCTCCCCTACAGGAGCCCCGTGCTCTGGTAATGTTCTTTCCATTCACACCTGACTCACAATATTAAAGCATTTGCTTCTGTGGGTGATGGGGTGCGTGTTCATCAAGGAAAACGTAAGTCCGACAGCTGCTTCCGTATTTTCACAGCAATATGGGCTTCTCTTGAAGGCAACCTGGTTTTCACACTTGCTCCTCTTTCCCTCTCTGTTCCACTTTAGTTTAGATGAATCTGCCCCTTCTGGGAAAATGAACACTCCTGACTTTTCCTTCAGCTTATTTCTCTGACCCCTGTACTTAATTGCTTGTGGCATTTACATACTAGTATTTAGCAAATTCATTTGGCTGAGATTTTCTTTAGTATAGGATAGAATCCAGTTTATTAGTTATTTGATTCATTTGGATTTCTGGATTCCAAGTACGGTCGGACATTTTATGTTATTATTATTTTTTTGGTACTGGGGATTAAACTCAGGACCTTCCGAGGCAGGTAGTGGCACCACTGAGCTCCATCCCCGGCCCTATATTAATCTTTTAAAGAGAGCGTCTTATACATGGGTGATCTCTGTTCATCAGATCACTGCTTTTTATCATATCTTAGATGTTTTCATATTTCTTCTTGCAAATAATTTTAAGGATGTTTACTTGCCCAAAGAATAGCACTGAAAAAAGCCATGATCCTAAGTACTGGGGGAGAAAGAGGACATGGAGACTTCCCATCTTACTGAGGTTTGTAACCTCCTAGGCTTCTCTTTGAACCATAGGCTGCATGTGTGTAGAAATGTACACGTATAGCCATCATGCATGCTTTGTGGGGTATCAGATCAAATCATCCTCAGAAACATGTTTCCTGTGAAGAACAGAAAAGAAAGCAATTCCAAGGAAGTCCAGTTAAGACGATTGCAATACCGGACATCTCTTTTTCATGTTAGGTATTTATTGTGGAACTGTAGCTTTCTTAAATTGAAAGACACTCCAAATATTTGTAAGCAAAACCTTCTGGATCAATTTCTTGCTTACTTAGAGTTGAAGAATAATGCAGAATGTAAGCGATGAAGCCGAAAGCAGTGATTGCACAGTAGAAAATAAATGATTCTGGAACTGACAATGCCCTTCAACCCCGCGGGCGTCCACCTGCTGCATCCCCTTCCCGCTTTTCCTGCCATCTCCGTGAACGCCTGTCCAGGAGCCTGAAACTTCCAGTAGGGGGTGCTGTTGTCTAGTACAAGGCCTTTGTTCTCAGAATTTGGTTAGCGCTTGAGATCATTTGTAAACGTTGCCCTTTCTCAAGATTTAATCTGTTTAAATTGATATTGGTTATTTGCTCTTAAGTTTACTGTGAATTTAATCGTATGTTGCTGTTTAATACACTAAAGTGCTATTCTGGTGGCAGCCACTGCAGTGATTAGCATTTTTCCCAGAATGTGTTCTGAATACTAGTGAGTTTGTTCAAGAAAAGAGCGATAATTTTATTGTTTTAAAAATAAAATATTTGATTACTTTGAAAAAATGCATGAAGTGAATTTTGATGAGTTGGTTGTGTAATCAAGCTAAGATTGTTGGAGGAACTGAACATACAAGTCTCGCCTTGAAAATTTTATTTTTCAGCTGGTAGAGATGCATTATATTTGCATTTTGGAGCTTGAATAATTTAAATTCCATTTTTATTGAACAAACCCAAGAGGAACATTTGTGTTTTCACTGATTACTTATACAATTAGTCTTTTCAGATATTACCTGAACCATGAACCATAATATTGTGTTCCTTGCTAATACATTTTGACAAAAGTATTTACATGAAAATACAATATATAAATGCAATGACTTTCTCAAATGAGTACATTATTGCCATGAAGCAATCACTTTTATTTTAATACAAATAAAATTCATTACATTTTTCTCAATTAGTAGAGAGACTTTTCCAAATGAATTAGTGAAGGAAAAACTTCGCCTGCTTTATCCTAACCCAGCTGATTTGCCTTTTATTACCAAATGCCCATTTGGGAAGGAGAGGAAAAAAAAGAAGTATTTAATTTTAATAAACTTGATGCAATGCTGACTCCTAGAAGATTAGGTATGGCTCAGATATACTTAGTTTCTTCCAGTTAGTTTCAAAGTAAAAGATTTGAAAGCAACAGCCTTTGAAGCAAAGATATTACATTCAAAACTCTATCATGTTGAAAAGTAGAATTTGAAGGCCAAAATGAACAAAATCTTTGAATTACAAACTTAATTTAAACAAAAGAATATTTTAGTCTCCCCCTCACTAGAATGTTTAAATCCCATCGTAAGTCTAATAACCAGATTATTTCATTTAACACAGTTGAATTGAGCCCAGTTTCTGTAAGTACAAATTTAACTTTAAAAAAATACAATTAACGTTGATTTTACATTTATATAGTACAGAGTCCAGATTAATTTAAGGGCCCTTTTCTGAAGTAATTGTTTCAGTTTTAGTGTTTACTCATTTTATGTGTAAAGTGAAAACATCTTTACTTTAAAATAAAAAATGAGAATAGCCAGGGATTTAGCTCTGGTTCTGCTGCCTGCCTCAAGTGGAAGGTCCCGAGTTCGATCCCTGGTACCAAATAATAATAATAATAATAATAATAATAATAATAATAATAATAATAGTTATTATTTTTTTAAAAGATGAGAACAGCTAGATAGCTATGCGCACACTGAATGACTCTACCATGGATTTTGAGCCAGGTGTGGTGGCTCACGCTGCAATCCCAGTTCTCAGGACACTGAGGCAGGAAGATCACTGTGAGTTCAAGACCAACCTCAGTGACAATGTGTGTTCCAGCCAGTTTGGGATGCGTAGAGAAACTGTGTCTCAAGGGCCAGGGATTAGCTCAGTGGCACTGCACTTGCCTCACAAGCACAAGGTTCCGAGTTCGATCCCAGGTACAAAAAAAAAAAAAAAAAAGGAAAGCAAAAGGAGTTGAAGAGTTTGATATTATAAACTGTTAGATTCCTAATACAAAATCAAAGATTACAAATACTAATTATTCAACATACTTATGTGGTCCCTGCTCTTAAGATATCTCTTATCATTGAATCTAATTCTTGAAATATATGATTAACATTCTGCAGATGGATTGTAAAATGTTACTTAATATTTCTAAAGTTATAAAGTTAAGACTGAAAATTCCAGCTTCTGGTAATTTATTTCTAGAATATGTGACAACTAATACAATCTGTGTCTTACAGGAAGCGTGACTAAGAAGTTAACATAAGTTGTACATTAGTATGTGGAGAGTTAACATTATCTTTCTTGCTAGTCCAGGTTGGATGATTCCAGAGTGGATGAAATCCTTAAAAAAGAAAAAAGAAAAAGAAAAAGAATCACAGCAATAATAAATGGACATATGATGTTTTCTAAAATGAAAAGAACGAGGTTCCTCAGAGAAATGGCTGATTATGGAGCAGAAGCAGAGAATCTACAAGATGATCCTTAAGTATCCTAGCTCCTTAAGTATCCTAAGTTCAAAGCACAGAAATGAGCTGGGCATGGTGTTGTTGTACTTGTAATACCAGAACTCTTAGAGGCCGAGGCAGGAGGATCACAAGTTTGAGCCCAGCCTGGGCAATTTAGCAACCTAGTGGGATCGATCTTGTCTCAAAAAATAAAGAGATATGTAGCTCAGTATGAAGGCTCAGGGTTCAATCCCCCAAATGACAAAAACAAACAAACCACAAAAATGAACAAGTGAGGCATGTCAGAGGGATTTGGGGGCCAACTTCAAAGCTGCCATTGGACAAACATGGATAGTTTAGGCAACAGAATAAATAAAACAGCATTAAATTTTATCCCAAAGTATAAAACAACTATTCATTAGTCCAAGATTAAATACATAAGAGAGATGAACTAAATCTTTTCTATGGAGGAATTCCAAATAACTGATACAGATCCACCTTACTTTCTGCGTGAGATGTGCTGTGTTCCTTCTGATGAATGGAGAACAAGAAGAATTAAGTGAGTCTACCATGGAGAAATGTGGCCTGCATTTCTGTGGGCAGTGGTAACCAGTGAAAAATCGTTCTGACAGTATGAAAGATTTGATGTTTGTGGTTTTACTCACAGATACCCCTATTTCTAGTCTAAGTATGGTAAAAATACCAGACAAACCCACAATGAACATTGACCTGACCGATGCTCTTCAGAAGGGCCAAGGAAGTCAATAAAAACTGGAAGAATCTGAGAAATTATCACAGACTACAGAAGGAGAGGAAGCATGATGACTAAATGAGGTATTAAACCCTGGAGTACGGTCCTAGAATAGGGAAAAACCAGTGAAACTGAATACACTGTGGACTTCAGTTAGTAAAAATAAAACAAGAGAAAAATGCTGGCTGCTTATTTTTACAAATTGTCTGTGTCTGAAACTATTCTGAAATTACAAGTTTACTTCTAAAAAAAAAGAATTTTAAGGATTTACTTTCTGTTACGTGGGTCTTGATAGCTTTGAGGAAGAGTTATGGGTGGAGAAAGAGGAAGTGCACAGAGATTTGTGAAAGGGACTTCCTGCCCACGCCTCTCAACATGTCAGTGATCGTGATGTCAGTGGGGTTTGCAGAAGTCTATGTTTTATAGGAAGCTTAAGGTTAATGTTTTGGTGTTTTTTTGTTTTTCCAGTACTGGGGATGGAACTCAGGACTTTGCCCTTGAGGCAGGTGTGGTGCCACAGCTCAAGGTTAATGTGATGATTGCTCCTGATCACATGAAACACAGCCTGGAACCGTGATTCCGATAGAACCCCAAGTGGCATCTGTAAGTACCGTCGTCCTGGGACTTCCTTTGGCTCTCAAACGCATCGGATCCCAAGTCTGTTGGATTCTGAGTTTTTTTCTAATTGCCTCTCCCTTCCTCTTTTGGGAAAATAAAGAGCCTTCTCTACTAGCTTCATGAAAAAGAATGCATAAAAAGCAGATGAAGCCAGGACCGGATCTCGAAAGGCCTCACCGAAGAGGAAGGTAAGTTTTCTCTCCTCAGAAGTTTGTAGGCACCACTCCAGTTTATCTGTGTGTCCTGTGCTCCCTCTGAAGTCCTCTCCACTTTCGAGTCTTGATTGTTTATATCTGGTTTGTTTTCCCCCTTTGAAAACTTTGTTGATCTTTGTGTTGTTCTCTGAATTTTGGAATATTTTATTTCTGGATTTTGTATAATTCTGTATTTATTTTACCAGATGTATGTTGGACCTTTTAAATTCATATTCTTAATTCAGCTGTGGAAAATTCTCAAAATGTTTTTGTTGTTGATTTGTACAGCCGCCATTTTCCTAGCATACATTAAAGATGTTGGGCCTCTTGTATTTCTTCTTTAATTTTTTATGATGTTCATATTTTCCATTTATCTTGTGATCTAACTTTGGAAGAGTTCATCAATTTCTCTTCTAATTCACATATGGAATTTCTCTACTTATATTATCATTTTTTCAGTTTCTGATTTTTCTTTTGTTTTATATTTTTACGAATGTTCATTTTAAATAAAATCTTGCATTGAAGGAACCTTATTTCTCTGGCATTTTTGATGATAGCTTTTTTCTTTTTTCTATTTTCCTTTCCTATAGTCTATTTCCTCCAAATTGCAACTTGTTTGTTTTTGTGGTTTTGTTTTGGCTTTGGTTTTTCTGTTGGAGCTTATCCTCCAATGTCTAGGGATTCTTGCCTGATTTGTAATCAGGAAGAGTAGGTCACCTGAAAAGTGAGTGAAGTTCTGAGCTGAGCACAAAAGGCCGGCAGGCAGCGACAGGGCTGGTGTGGTTATGGGAACTCCTCTCCACATCAGGGATTCTAGCTCTTTCCTCTGGGCTGGGTCAGCTCTTCAGGGGCCTGGTGTCCCTTCTGGGTGGTGGAGACCTCACTGTGTGCTTCACGGGAGCCACTGGAGAAAGAATGCCGACCAGTGTTTCGAGCTTTGGTGAGTGACACAGAGCCCTTCGTCCTCTTCTCTCTCTCTTTCTTTCTTTCTTTTTTAATTCTTGTGTCCTCTTCTTTTCAAGAATACTGACTGTTTCTAGCACCACTCAATCTGCCTCTGGCCTCACACCATCTTTTTCTTCCTCTCCGGGAGTCAGATGCCGGTTTCCTGCCAGCTAAGAGAAGCCATGGAAGTCCGATTACACCTCAGCAACCTTTCTCCTGTTCTCCGGTTTCCGACTTTGCCTTCGTGTGCCTTTTCATAAATACTGGGGCCATCAGTCCCTGAGGCTTTAGGATTCCAGTCCTGGGGATCCGTCTACTCTCACCCCTACATCCCAACCTCCCTCATTTTGGGACTCAGCTTTCTCAGGTTAGGTGAGATCCCAGCTGACTGCTTCCTTTTTTGGGCTGGGGGGTACCGGGGATCGAACTTGGGTCCTTTTCCTTGCAAGGCAGGAGGCAGAACCACTGAGCTAAATCCCCAGATGCAGCTGACTGCTTCCTAAGTGCTAACATTTTATTGGAGTCATCTCTTTTCCCATTGTCTTTGACCTTGATGTGCTATGTTTCTTTCTGTAAAAGCCCTAGCCTGTTATTGTTGGGTATTTTGATAAGGGTATCAGAAGAAATGTGGATGTTTAACCCGATGTCTTTAGATAGAAGTATAATGGAACACTGGAGACAAACTGTTCTCTTGGCCACACAGTTGAGTTATTGTCAGGTCTCAGTTTTAACCTGAAATCTGGAATTGGCCCTGGCGAGGACTCAGTACTTCAAGGACTCATTTTCCTGTGATTGAGAGCTCAAAGAAAGCTGACTGATGTGACATTTCCAGTTAGAATGAGTAAGGAAACCTTCCTGTGAGCATGCTCTGGGTTGAGATTTCTAAATGCAGGAGTAATTTTCTTCTTTTCTTTCACTGTTGGATGAAAGAAAATTAATGAAATAGATAGAAAAAAGAGAAACATTTCCTTTTTTCTGATCATGTCTAAGATGGTCTGGGAAAAATTACTCTTCTTTTAAGAGGTTTTCAAGTCCTCAAGGATTCAAATATAATAAAATGAGTATTATTCAACCCTACGTCGGGAAGAGCCACACAGGTATAAAGAAGTGAAACAGTAGCCTGTGCGACATAATATTTGGCGAAAATAGCCCTTGACCTTTGAGTTGGTAGAGACCGCAGAAGGCCTGGGGGACTGTGGACAACTGGGAAGGGAACGCCCTACTTATTGTGGGTTCTTGCTAACGCACTTTAACCTATTAGCACCTTGTGGAAATTACTGTGCTAGATGGTGCAAGGAAGGCTGGAGATGTGGTCATTAAGAGAATTTTCCAGCAGTCAAGGAATACAGAAAATTAGGGGTTTATTGTCACACTCCTGGAGAGCAGTGGGCGAGCCGCAGGAGCGGACTGCGCTTCAGGATGGGAGTCTGGGGATTCCAGAAGGGACTGAGGGCGTGGAAAAGGGCCTCAGCTCTCGTGATATCTCAGAAACACACTTCCCACGGCATCTTGTTCCTTGTGAATCTTCCAGGAACACTTGCATTGCAACTGAAGTTGTACATCAAAGTTGCAGATTGACAAGGCCACTTATTCTGTGCTCACGGGAGTCCCTTCAGCTTTAGATAAGGTGCTCTATACACATTAACTCGTGGAGAGAAGAGCGATCAAGCTCAGAGTGAAGGATAGATAGGTCTTCTATTTATTTCTTGTGCTGTTTCTAGTCATTGTTGATGCAGGGCCTCAGGACCACTCAGTACATGCTGGGCAGGATTGTGTCAGCAGAGACGTGGTGTCGCTGTTTTGTCACCACAGAAAGGAGCAATCCAAATTTCTGAGAGAAACAAGAAATACACATTTTAACATGAAATTATAGAATGAGATAATGAAATATTAAGATATTCGCACAAAATAACTCAATTAACAATTTTTAAATATTGACAAGTAGTTACAAAATGTTTCAGTGCTGTACAAGCATGGAATGGTGCAACGTCCAACTTACAACACATCCCATCAGCTTCCCTATGCCCTACCATCATATTTCAAGGCCATACGAAGCCATTCATAATTGTCACTGCAGTTGTAGCTCCAGAGGCTAACATTCATCTCTGGGGAATATTACACTTACTAAGATCAGAAAGAGCAGATTTAGAAAAATAGGGCTAGAAATCACGTTTTCTTTCTCATAGAGTGACACTATTTTCTCATATAGAATCGACTCGGGGCCAGGGATTTAGCTCAGTGGTGCTGACATCTGCCTTGCAAGTGCAAAGTCCTGAGTTTGATCCCCATACCAAAAAACAAAGAAATAAACAAACAGCGCAATCAACTAGAATCAACTCAGTTTCTCAAAGCCAACTGGCTTTCTCAGGACCTTCTGGTCAGAGTAGATTCTATAAGACTACATAGGCATATAAAGGAAAGACGAAGCTGATCCATTTGAACGAAAAGTAATTCTCTACTCTCGACTCTTGGCTGTATTCCTCCTTGTGGTATATGGCTGCTCACAGGTTCCGGAAAAGTGGCCATGAATCACAGACTTACATTATTCTCATAGCCTGCCAAAAAGGAAGAGAAAACCTCTTTTCTTCTCTGGCAGTGAAGTCCCAAGAACTCTTTCACCATCTTGGATCACATACTCATCCCGCATCCCTGAACCAGTCACTGTGGTGAGGAGAGGAAGTGCTCTGCTTGGCTGAGCTCTCTGAGGTCAGACAGAGATGTTGAGGTTGTCTTTGGTTGTACCATAAAGACAGGAAAGGGGCATTCCCTCAAGAAAGGGTTGATGAATGATTAACACCTGTCTACTAGAGAGACAAGTGTTTTCAGAGCTTGAAAAAACCTTCTAAATCCTTGTGGCTTAAGCATTTTTGTCTAGACCTGCTGAATAGTGAATAGTAAGGCAATAGAAACATGGAAAATCAACTGTCAAGAAGCGTGCCCTACATTTAGACAAGCTGAGCTGAAATTGCAATATGACGTCTAAGACTCTAGAAATTGATATTTTATAAATCTAGCAAGCATCAAGAAGAGCCTGTCCTTTACGTAGTTCATTCTCTCCTGTTCGAAATAGATTTAGAATCTCGACTATAATGATGCGACAAAAGATGGTGTGTTCCGAAAGAGGGAGAAGACAGGAAGCTTTAATTTCAGATGAGCTGAATTAATCTTCATGAACCTGACAAGTTCTTAGAAAATAAAAAAAAACTCAGCTGAGTTCAGTAAAAAGTCACCTTGTCTGATGACTGGAGACAGCAGGTAGAGTCCAGCCAACGAATAAGGCAACTTGTGTATCTTGTAGCCTTTTCAGAGCCTGAGGAGAACCCAGATGGTTCACAGAGAATGCAGAAACACCCCAGCATAGCCAGGCCTTACGCCTTGTGAGAGGAAGCAAGGCAAACCAAAACACCCAATCCCTTGAAATATCAGTTTCCCCATCTGTAAAACTGAGATGATAGTTTTGTTGTGAAAAAATTTTAAGAATTACATTAGTGCATACTACAGGCAGAGTGTTTTCGTTCCTCCCTCCCCCAGTTCATCTGTTGAAATCTTAACCCCTGATGTGATGGTGCAGAGAGGTGAGGTCTCCAGGAAGTAGATAAGTAACGAAGGTAGAGTCTTCACGAACGCAATGATGGCCCTTATGAAGTGGGACCCTGGAGAGCTCCCTTCACGTCTGCTAGGTGAGATTATAGCTAAAAGACCCTTCAAGTCTATAGTCCAGGAAGTGGGCGCCCACCAGACACCAGTGCTGCCTCCTTGACCTTGGGCTTTGCAGCTTCAGATTGAGAAATAAATTTGTGTTGTTTGTAAGCGACTCGACCTATGGCATTTTATCGTATCAGCCCAGCTGGGCCAAGACCTATCCTAATGCTAGTACACTAAACTACCACAATCTTAATAACTCAGAACAACATAGATTTATTATCTACAGTTATGGAGGTCAGAAGTCCAAGTGACCATTATGCATTTCCAGACTCTCTAGGGAGAGAATCCGTTCTCTTGCGTTCCAGTTTCTGTCTCCTTAGCTCACAGCCACATCAGTGTGACTTCTGCTCTTGCAGTCGTGCCTTTTATTTTTCTGACTCCGACCTTCCTGCCTCCCTTTTATAGTGACCCCTGTGATTACACCGGCCCACCCAGATAATCCAGACGAATCTTTCTATGCCAGGGTTCTTACAAACATCTTCAAGGTTTCTGAAATATAAGGTAACACATGCTCACAAGTGTCAGCAACTAGAACATGAGCATCGTTGGGAGCCCAAAACGCAGTCTACCACAGGAGTACGAGAAGAAATAATACCTGTGAAGGATTTTAGAGTTGCGCTTGACAATGCAGATAAAGGATCGATGCCAAATGCAGTTTGGAAAGTGTAATTGTTAAGATCTTGGACTATGCATTCTAACATTAAAATGTTCAGTAGGGCCAGAATATGTGATCATCTGTTCTTGTGCATGTCAAGTTAATTTTTTACATTTATTTATTATTTATTTTTAAAGAGTAGGAAACATTTATTGAGAGAAAGATGGCTCCTGTGTAAGAGAGACAAAAGGGGAGGACCAGAAAATGGGTTGCCCCACTTTTTTTTTACATTTACAGGCTTCGTGTACTTCCTTAAGATTTTGCACTCAAACAGAGCAGAGCTATTTTAAGCAGCAAAATAATCAAAATACAAGTTTTCTTCAGCTACTCTTTAATGAAGATCAAATGCAACACACAGAGTACAAGGATTTTCAGAGAACACTCCGTGTGGTAAAGAATGTTGCACCTTGTAGATAACAGTAAACTGTTGCAGGAGGTCAAATTCTGGCAGGACTGCAGCTCCTCGCTTGGGTTTGTGTTAGCAGTGTCTGGACATCCCAGTACCCTTCCCTTGGAAACTGGAGTCAGCATTAGCCAGCCCAGTGGCCCTGAACGGGGAGAGAAGGCTGCCTTTTGATGTTTTTCTTCGGACCTGTCATGCTCCAACAACTTTAGTGGCTACATAGAGTTCCTTTTCCATGTGAAGAAGGTGTGTGGTGGTCTTTGAAAGCCTCCCAAAGCGGTACATGAAGCTCAGTCTCCATACCAAAAGAAAAGTACAGATGAAGGCTTTATGAATTCTCGTGAGAGCACCCAACTTGTGATAGCCAGAAGGGTCAATCTTTGCAGTCATGAAGTTTCTATTTGGTAAGATGGGCCATCCCTGATGGGTGTTCTTTCTGGTTAATAATAGTCTTTGTTTAGTAGGCTCTCTGTTAGGAGGGAATACTAATGTAATACTCACTGAGTTTTCTGCTGCTGGCTGGGGATTATCAATAGGTCATAAATAAACTACCACCACACGGAAAAGACAATAAGATTATATATACTCCTACTACCTCCAATTACAGTAAGCGCAACAATTATAAGGTTGTACTCCTACAGCTACCCTAGGGAGAAAATGAAAGGAAAATGTTCCATTAGCTTAATGAAGAGAGCACGGCAGAGTCACAGTCAAATTTCCTCACTATTAGCACCTATGGTGTGCTCTAGCACTCAGGGGAAGCTTGGGTTGCAGGGTAACAATTAAATTTTGTGACAATTAGCCCCTACAATGTACAGTTCCTGTCCCGCAAAGAGCCATTGCAAAGAGCAACATTTACATTTTCTCACTTCTTGCTTATGAAATGTGAGTCACTTATGGAAATCAAAGGAGTTGGGGTGAAAAGTTTATTTTACAGATGGCTGCAAGGCAGTATTGGCACGCTTGCCACGGAGCACACAGCAACTGGACATTACCATGTGTGGAATAGAGAGTTAAACAACTTAATTAGGGAAAAGATGGACTTGGATCAATGTGAGTAATTTGGCATCCATGTTATCTGTATTAGGAAGAAAACCACTGAAAGCAAAAAATGTGCTTCCTAGAAGTTCTGTTAGAAAGAGAAGAGAGAAGCCTCCCCAAGAAGGCTGCCCTGAGTTCAGACCCTAGCTCCACTATTTAAACCTCTTCAAGTCTCAATTTTCCTCCTTTGCAGAATGGAGGTACTAACAGAGCAAACTTCCATGGGCTATTGGGTGGACTAAAGACAAAATGGATAGGGTTAATTTTAAGTGTTTAAAAATATCAGTTATACTATCTAAGTCCAGAATCAGCCTAGAACACTGTGGATTTATACGGCATAAGCCAATATTTGTGTAATGAGTACTTTTACATTTTTTTCTTCTGGAGACCATGATCAAAACTTTACTTGGGTGATGGTGAGTAAATAGTTTACTTGGTTTCCTCTCAGTTTAAAGAATAAAGAATACTTATACCATATGGAGATATAATATGTCTGAGCTGCTCTACAAAATATTTGGATAAATATGGGTGGACAATGGACACCTCCCCAGCATCCTACTTTCCAAAGCAGAAAGGGCTTTTGTTTGGTCCAACTTCTGCACCCAATCCATGAAATCCCTCTGTTCATCTCACCAGTCCACCTCTGCTGTTTCTTCTGGTTGCTGTGTGGCATCACTGTTGAAAAGTAGGTGTTCTGGCTGCCTCTCTGGGCAGGGCAAAGCCGTTCTTAGGAAAAGCCCAAGTCCTCTTCCACGGGGCTGGCTTTGACCGAGGTTGCATCTCCGACGTGTGCCCCTTGTGCTCCACTCCACATCTTCCGGGCACCAGCTGACCTTGGTGAATCAGATTGAGGCCGGTTCAGGTGTCATCGACCTCGCCACACCCTCTCCCACCCACTCTTGCAGCACTGTCAGAGGGGTTTCCTGGATTGCGAATTTCCACCTTCTGACGTCCAGTTAGCTACGCTTCCTGATAGAAAGCTGAGAACAGCAATGAAAAGGCAAGTCACACAGCAGACTGTCTTCACGAGAAACAGTCCTACCTGGGACATACTACTTTGGGTAGTGTAATTCTTCATGTCTGGGGTGTCTTCAGAAAGTTTGCGACGACAATTAGATTTCTGGTGTTTTGTAAATTACATCAACTGCTTTAAAATTTTTTCAGTTTACATCAAGATGCTGGGTTTGAGCAGCAGGAGCTCTTAATTATCTGTGCAGCTGTCCTGTGACATCTGCTGTCCCGTGTCTGTCACTCTGGACGGTGCGTGTCTGGACATCACCTTCCGTAGGGTTTGCAGCTCCTTTCTTGGTCATTTCACAGTTGGCTTTCACCTTCTGCCATTCCGCCGTCCCCTATAATTTCATATGTTGTAAAACTTCACCTCACTTTCACTGTCAGAACTCTTCCTTCCTTTTCATCCCCCTTGTGAATGCTGAAAATCATCACTGTCAGACATACTGTGCAGTTATTTTGCTTACTTACGTCTTTATTTTCTAGCTTCCCTTAGTAAACTGAGGCATCGTGAGAACGGAGGATTTTGTTTTATCCACTGCTGAGTTCCCCGGTGCCCAGATCAGTGCTGGTACTTAGCCAATGCTCGATGAGTAGTTATCTATAAGTGAGACTTTCAAATCTTACACTGAGACTCAAGCAAGAAAATTGTAGATGAGCATGCTGGCTTCCTTCCTTGTGCCCTCCCTCCCTCTCTTCCTTCCTTCTTTCCATCTGTGCTTCCTTCCTCTTTCCTCCCTCCCACCTTCCCTCCTGCCTCTCTCTCCCTCTCCTCTCTCTCTCTGTCTCTCTCTCCCTCTTTCTCTCTCTCCCTCTTTCTCTCTCTGTGTCTCTCTCTGTCTCTCTCTCTGTCTCTCTCTCTGTGTGTCTCTCTCTCTGTCTCTCTCTCTGTCTCTCTCTCTGTCTCTCTCTCTCTCTCTGTCTGTCTCTCTGTCTCTCTCTCTCTCTCTCTGTTCTCTCTCTCTCTCTCTCTCTCTCCCTCTCTCTCTCTCTCTCATTGCAGGACCCAGGACTTTGTGCATGCTGGGTAAGCCCTGTACCACTGAGCTACATCCCTAGCAGAAAGACTTAATGATTTAACTATGAGCTTTCCCTCTCATCATTATTACCACAGACTTTCTTGTTATTAATAACTTAATTCCTATCCCCAAATTATATGGCTGCAAATAATAAAAATTTGATACAATAACAATAAAAGAGATCTGATGAAAGATTCAAAAAATAGATCATCTAAGCTTTTTTGCGTCCCACAGTTTTTAGATGTGGAGAGTAACAGTAGATGATGCCAATTGTGGTGGTATAGCTACCTGCACTGTCTGAATCTGAGGAGTTTTGTTTTTCAGTTTAAGGTAGAAAAACCATTTCATGACCTGCTCACATCAGGACAGAATCTCCCATAAGCTCATGACCCAGATTCCCCATCTCGATCCATGGCCAGTGGTTGACCACAGGAATGGGCTGATCAGGGAAGTCAGGGATGTGTGTGTTTGGTGAGGCAGTGTGGAGACCCCATAGCCCCCAATACAGAACACTCCCAATGTCACAGATGCACCTTTGGCCTTTGTGTTGAGCTCCACTCACTCTGCAATCCTATTTGAAAAGCAAATCCTCTGAAGGTTTGAATACAAAGGGTTCTTAATGCTTCAACGGGGACACGGAGACTTTGAAGGGATCCCATAAATCCAGGAGCACAGCAACACTGAGAGTCTTGGACTAGAAGGGGCACAGTGGATACTAGAAGAGGACTCAAAGAGGAGCCAAAACGCTAAGGGTGATTGTGCCCTGAGGGCCAACTGTTAAATGAGTGAACAGCCACTGAGGGTACTGATGGCGGGGTAGGGTGCAGAACTAGTCATGTTACAGAACGCACTGGGAGGCAGAAAGCTCACACTTCTGTGGCCGTTTTTAGTTCACTCTTGGCACCTTTGGCTCTGCCTCACTACAGGAATACGGATGAGCACAAACGGCTTAGACTGATGGGCCGGGGCCACATAGTCTCTGCAGTCAGCGGTCCCCGGCCCAAAACAACAGAGAGCAAAAGCATGTTTTGTGGGCAGAGGTGAAATGTGGGTCTTCAGTACGTGTCAAGGGCGGGGTTGTAAGCACAACAATAAAACTGACCAAAAACAAGCTGCTTTTTATTATCGCCACATGCCAACAATTCTGAACAATGCTATTAACAAAAATAATCCTCCCCAAACTCTCTTGTTCTTCTAGAGACTTGCTGCGGTCATTGTTGGGTTGAAGTAAAACATAAGAAAGTTTTAGTTCACACATTCGGATAACTTATCCTTTATTAAAGTATTAAATGAATTTGGAGAGTGCTCAGTAGACCAGTTAACCCTCCGCAGACGGCCTCTGCTGCCCTCAGTCCTTGTGGGGAAACTGACGTTGAGAAGTGAAGTTGATTTGAAGGCGGTTTGTATGTTCCATCTTGTGGCATCATTTAATCCCGTTTTTTATGGTATATTTGAAAATGACAAGGGAGCACAGTGATTTCAAAGGTGAATAAACAGAACCCAGGTCACTCCAACTGGGTCCTTCTGGGAAGCTTTCATCATAGGTATAAGACAGCACGCAACTGTACAGTGCAGTGTTTTCACGTAAGAAGTGCAGAGTTTATTTAAAACATCAAATGCCAGCGATTAACAATAGTTCTTTTTAATTGTTAACCATCTTTTCAG